CTACACTTATTGACAAATTGTCCTCACATCACAATGACTATCAGTCAGTTAGTAGTGAATAAAACGCCATAAAACTGCATCTAAAATGTCAATATAGTCCAGGACCAGAACATGAATCATAAAATAGAAACCATTATGATGTAACTCTGGGTAAAGGAGGATTCTCTTCTAATGGTTATCAAACTGGAGAGGGAGACGAGTAAAGACTGATATCTACATAAGATCATTAGTTGGTACAGGTAGAGCTGGCAGATGAAAGGGTTAATGATAGAGAAGGTTAGAAAAAATGTATTTCCATAGAAAAAAAGGCTTATTTATATTTCCCCTGGGAAGAACTGGGTCGCCTGTTGACTCGGCTGAAAGCCGTTGTTATTGTGAGAAAGATTTCAGGCTGCTTTTTGAGATGTCATAATGGTGTGCAATTATTCCTGCAACGGGGTTAAACTCACTTATCCATAGGTCAATGACTACCAAGACCTTAAAGGTCAATAGATCATAAATGTAAAATAAAAATCCATCTTATTACCGTTTATAAAAACTGATTGTAAATTCGTTAAAAGTCACAAGAAACGACATCAATTAAAACCCCAATTTTGTATGTTTAACTATCCCATCTGACTCAGATTAGCTTTAGATGTTCTTTATGGCTCAAAAATACAAATTCCATATTGTCTCTAGGATTTTAGGCAAAGTAATAAAAATTATAGACAAACTGGTTTCTCCACCAGTATCTCACCAGCTATTCTCCATCATGCTCAATTAGCTAACTGGACATCTCTGTACAAATTTACCCCAATAAATTAACCTTCTTTCAATTTGTCCTTTAGATGATAATTTGTTTATTGGGTTAAAAAATTATAAAAATACTTCAAGTTCTTAAAATATCTAAAAGGCCATGATTCAAACTGAAATTAGAGGAGCTTCAGGAATCCTAAACCATGAAATTTTATCATGTCAATTGGAGGAATCCAGATGAAAAGTGTTGTTGTTTTAATGTTAGCTATGTATTTCTGTTGGCGAATGGACTGAAGAACGGTCATTTGACCCAACTACATAAATTTCTGCTTCATTTCTCTCATCCCGGTGTTGTTTTCCCACATATGTGATAATTGTAATTGGTTATTTTTTTAGATATTTACCCGTGAAAATCCATTCTTCTAATTTATCGATGATGAAAATGCCCAGAGGGGCTCACAGTGTTGCAGTGGGTAGCACTGCTGCCTTGGAGGAAGAAGGTTCCAGGATCATTTGCTGGCCCGGGGTCTTTCTGCATGGAGTTTGCATGTTCTCCCTGTGCATGCATATGTAGGTCTCCTCCGGGTACTCCGGCTTCCTTCCACAGTCCAAAAACATGACTGTTAGGTTAATTGGCTTCTCTAAATTCTCCTTAGGTGTGAGTGTGCATGAATGGTTGTTTGTCCTGTTTGTCTCTGTGTTGCAATGGACTGGCAACCTGTCCAGGGTGTTACCCGCCTCTCGCTCATTGACAGCTACCATTACCCCTCGTGACCCCATCAGGGATAAGCGTGATGGAGAATGGATGGATAGATGCAAAATGCCAATACATAAATGATATGTTTAGGAGTTACCATAAATTCAAGTGTAACATTTAAGACAAGCCATGTAATTTTTTTCCCTATTTTCTGAAAAACTTATGTACTCTATTCATAAAATGCTGAATAGAAGAAAAAACAGTAGCAAATGTCCTAATTACCCAACAACAGGGTTACAGTAACGATTACCATCAAACAAAGTCCATTCAAGAGTTTAGACAAATAAACAAGCTCTATATATATACACGCTATAAATGTTGCATTCCTTCAGTAAAGCCACTCCTGAAACAGAAGTAGGTAGCGTCTTATCTTGGCGAAAGATAAAAAGAGCTGTACTTTTCCTAAGTGGTTTGAAGAGATCTTAAAGTGAAGCGCCATCTTCGGTGTTGGTCTACTGGATTTTCTAAAATCTATATTCAACACAGCAAATCTCCCAGGAGATGTTAAAAGACTTCATATTTATTTCTGCTTACAAACTTTAAGGAGATGCTGCTTTCATTTTCCAGTGGCGCTTGGCTTCTGCCCACACAACCAAAGATAACAAAAGCAGGTTCAATGACCCTGGTGTCACTTTGCCTGATTGGCCTGATTAACAACCCCAAAGATGGTCTTTTATCAGGACATGGAATTTGTTGATTAAATATTACCCTTTGTATTTACTGATCATTTAAATATCTTAATTTTGTGAAAGACAGAACTTGGCGTCATAATCTGTAAGCATTTAACTGCCAATAAGTAAATGCGTGCGACATTTCACTATATGTAAAAAATTTATAAAATATTTGGAAAAGTAACTGTTAGTTGTTTTTTTTTTTTATCCAATGGTTCACTAATGCCATCAGTTAACTTAATGCAATTATAAGCCTATTGATTTTATTGTGATCTACCGGTAATACAAACATTAATGTCTGGTAAATAATGCTGGAATCTGGCTGTTTATTTTGGATACTTTTACATACTTTTACATAAATTCAACATATGGTTATATTTATTATGACATCCAAACTTCTTTTCTTAATTTGAGCTTAATGCAGATGAATACTTAAAAACTATGCAGAAATTCCATTGCCTCTTTAAATATGTGTTTGGATTAATTTACTAGGGTGTAAAGAAAATTTAGACTCATTTCTTAAATTATTTTTCTATTAAAGAATGTTCTACATGCCGAAAAAACGAACTAATATAAACTCTAAGCACTAGTAGCGATAATGAAGGATCTGTTTTAAATGTACAGCTAGTTTCCTAAGGGTTCATGCTTGTGTTTGGTTACAGCTGTAAGGAAGAACGTATCTAATGATGTTTTCTTCCAAGTCCAACTCAAACAGAGTTAGTTGATAAGTTTACTTCAACCAGAACAGAATTAGAAGTAAAGAAGCCTGCATGTTTATTTTATTTCTGTTATTACAGTATATAGTAATAGGAGAAACTAAACATTTACTATGCCATCTGTATCATTTAAATTGTCATATTAACTTTCATTATTAAAAGTGTGCTTTCCCCCTTCCTAGAGTCCTTCACTGCATTAGAATACCCATAATTCATTGTTTGGGTCTTCATCCAGCACAAGGACATATTATTCAGGGCCTGACAGGTGGTTCTGTATGAATTTAGTGGTATGATTCCCAGTGGGACCACCTGCATAACACATGATCCCACTCATTAGTCTGGAAGGTGCTTGAGAGAAAAGGTTAAAGCCAATGGCTGTACGCAAAGCGTAGCGGAAGCCAGGAAAGCCGAGCATAGCATTCTCTGCAGTGTGGAAGAACACTGATACCTCCCCTGGGTGGTGAGAGGGTACTCCTCCTCGAGTACGCTTCCTCAAACATGTCAGCTCTCTCAGTGAGCATTCAGAGCTACATAGCTACTCTGAGGTTACATGAAGGCATTATATTATCACGAAATAAAGAAGCTAATATCAGATTAAATTATTTTTTCCTATTTGTTAGAAGTTGCCCTCGTTCTCATTACATTTCAAATGTGATCTTAATTTATCAATTTCTAATTTTCACTAATGTGGGGTTTATCTAAAATCTGCTGGTTTCTCATTAAAGTTCTATATTTTATATTATCGTCTAGAACAGGGGTCTTCAACATTTTCCAGGCCAAGGACCCCTAAACTGATGGCGAGATGGAGTGGGGATCCCCTAATTATATATATAGCAATATAGCATGAAATTATGTTATATCAAACTGGTCCTATAGTCACTCATGGAGTAATGTAACAAAAGTAATTTCACCCTGGGATTATTAAAGTATTTCTGATTCTGATTCCTGGTTTATGGGACAGGTGTTATGAATGAAACGGCGCCCAGTTTGAAAGAGCTCCTGTGTGTCGCTGAATGTGTGCATTGATGACTGAAAAACATCTTCTGCCTCCATTTATGTGTTTACTACAGTGTGTTGAATTCATGTTAATGTGGATTTAAAGACATTTCAATTAGTGGAGAAAATTGCAGGGGGAAATATAAAATAAAAGTTGAATCAACCAAAACTTTCACGACATGCAGTGGCTCCGTGGACCCCCTAGGGGTCACGGACCCCCTGTTGAAGACCTCCAGTCTCGAAGTATTGCCAATAATAAAAACTTTGTTTAGCATTTTAAGTGTCAGTTTGCATTCTTGTTGTCCTACTTAACCTTGACCCAAAAGAAGATTGATTTATTCAATTTGGATGCACCTGAGTTTATATATATATATATATAAAATTTTATATAAAAATAAATACAACTGTACACTGTAAATGTAATTTCACTTTTTTTTAAAGTATCCTGTTCACAATGTGGCAATAAGAATAATTGTCTTGATGCCAAAAAAAGAGTCCAACAGTTTTTACTTTCACAAGTGGAGCAGTAGGGCTATCGCCATAGTGTTCTGCTTGATTTTCTGCACAGAAATAGCTTTGTTATAATTCATGCAGGGAATATATACAGATTTTATGGACATTGCAATGTAAGTAGAACATGAAAGGGCAAAAAAAGGGAGAAAAGATGAAAGAAAGAGGAGATAAAAGGGGAGATAACGATTAAAACATCTTCAGTCTGCTTCATCACCTGCAAAGAGATGTAAAAAGAACAGCACAACCAACGAATATAGTATAAGAGAAACAATAAAGCAACACCTTGATACTATCGCTGAAGTATAAGTAGTATTATTTAATATGGCATGTATATTGTGGGATAAGAACGTGGATAAGAATATTAACAAGTAATTTAACTTGTTAAAGTGAGCCTGAAAAGTCACCGCCTATTTATAAACTCTTTGGAGCACAGTTGGTCAAAGCCATTGACGCAAAGTGCCAGAATCTATCAGGGATTGGTCCAGATTCCTGTCAAAACATATCAGTCAAACTGATTGACCAATCAGAATTGATATGTGAGTCTTCGTCCCGCCCCTTTGCTCGCTGACGCAGAGGGTCATGTGTTGTTTGTGCTGTGGCCCGTAGAGATGTGTACAGGAGTAGAAGAGAACGGATTGCTAACCGAGCTAGCTGGATCCTCCCGGTTACAGAAGCAAAGCTGAGCGCGGTCATGTTTCACACGGTGGGATTTATTTCGTGATAAAAGCCCACGGTGGACTGGATCCGTCGCCGCTAGGAGAAAGGGGGACTATTTTTCTTCGGGCGGAGTAACAAAGCCGGTGTGTGTGTGTGTGTTGGAGGGGGGATTGCAAATCTGAGCCGTACGAGTCACCGTTAGCTGGCCTAGCCGGACTCGGGAGCTTCGTCTCCCAAAACAAGAATGGGGTCTGAGTCGACTCGGATTAGCCTGCTACTAAAGTGACCTTTGATTGTGTTCCCCCGATGGCTAACTTAACGAATTACCAGGAGGGAAAGGCGGCCGTGCTGCTGGTGGAGGCTCAGCAGAGGGACGTTGGGGCCGCCAACACTAACGGTTTAGTCGGGGAACCCCCTTACCCGTTAATCAATATAGCAGGAGGAGGTTCTCGTTTTCTGCAACATTTACCTCCCTCCAACCACCTCCACCACCACCAAAACATCAGCACCGACTCGCCAAAGGATCAACATCAGCATCATCACTACCAGCTGGCTCCACAGCAGCATCTTTCCGAGTCCCCGGGAAGAAAAGCCTCCCCCTCCTCTATCAGCCAGGTACACACCGCCGAGGACCCCGCCGCTAGCAGCAGCACCAGCAGCAGCGGCCATGTCTACGCCGCGGTGACCGTCACCAACAGCTCGGAAGCCGTAGACGACATCCGAAAGTGCGGCTATTTGAGAAAGCAGAAGCACGGACACAAGCGCTTCTTCGTGCTGCGGGCCGCCAGCCACCTGGGGCCGAGTCGTCTGGAGTACTACGACAGCGAGAAGAAGTTCAGGAGCAGCCTGCGCACCGCGGCGGCGGCGGCGGCGGCCGCCAGCGGGGGAGTGGTGGCCGCTTCTCCCCCGAAGAGGGTTATTTACCTCTACCAGTGCTTCACGGTGAACAAGAGGGCGGACTCTAAAAACAAGCACCTCATCGCCCTGTACACTAAGGACGAATATTTTGCTATAGTGGCTGAAAACGAGGCGGAGCAGGAGGACTGGTACGTGGCCATCAGTGAGTTGATGAGCGAGGGGAAGAGGGGCCACCTGGACTCGGATGACTTGGATGATGGATATGGGACAGTCAGCCCTGGGACTGTGTTTAAAGAGGTTTGGCAGGTTAACGTAAAGCCCAAAGGACTGGGTCAAACTAAAAACCTCACTGGTGTTTACCGCCTATGCCTGTCTACTAAAACCATTCACCTCGTTAAGCTGAACTCTGAAACCCCCTGCGTTAACCTCCAGCTGATGAACATCAGGCGCTGCGGACACTCGGAGAGCTTCTTCTTCATAGAGGTCGGCCGCTCCTCCTCCATCGGGCCTGGGGAAATATGGATGCAGGTGGATGATTCGGTGGTGGCCCAGAACATGCACGAGACCATCCTGGAAACCATGAAAGCCCTGAAGGCTTTTGCAGAGTTCAGGCCGAGGAGCAAGAGCCAGTCGTCGGGCTCCAACCCCATGTCGTTCATCACAACCCGACGCCACCTGGGTAACCTGCCTCCGAGTCAGACAGGGCTGCAGCGGCGCTCCAGGACGGAGTCTGTGGTCGGCACGCCGCCCTCGAGTAAAAGTTCCGGGGCGAGCGGCTACCGCTTCCGGACTTCCAGCGAAGGCGAGGGGACGATGAATCGGCCGTTCCGCTCCGCCACGGGGAGCCTGGTCCACCTCAACGCCGCCCGTGGTCCTCACGGTCGCCAGGATGGCGGCGGGAGCGGAGGCAGCTGGAGCGGCGTGGCCACGGGGAATGCCGGCACTAGCACCAACAGCAACCGCTACGTCCGGGCTATCCCGTCCACCTGTCACGCCCGCTCGGCGTCGCTTCCCGTCTCCCACTTCCCCTCAACCACCAGCCCGGTCAGCGTCTCCTCCAGCAGTGGCCACGGTTCTGTCTCCGATACCCTCACCCGGCCATCGAGTGCGTCCATATGCGGCTCCCCTTCTGACGGCGGCTTTAACTCCTCGGATGAGTACGGCTCCAGCCCCGGTGACTTCCGGTATTTCCGGGTTCGAAGCAACACGCCCGACTCTTTGGGAAACACCCCGCCAATCAGAGAGGAGAACTGCCTTAATGATTACATGGCCATGGGCTGGAACCGGGAGGTGTTTGGCACCAGTGTTAGTTCTGGAAACAACAGCGGATGCGAGACGCCACGTGAAGAAAGCACCTTAACTACAGAGGATGAGCGTTATTCTTCCTCGTCCCTGAGAAGGAGGACGCACTCTTTCTCCAGAGCCGCTGCCGGCACCACCGGAGCTTCTGGCATTGCCACCTATCAGAAAATGACCCAGACCAACCTCTCACTGGATGAGGGGTCAGATGTAGTGTTGCCGTTCGGGAGCGGGCTGCTCCGCGGCGGGCCGTCCTCCTCCTCTTCCTCGCTCCGCTCTGACTACAGTTCCTGCTCCGAGCACAGCCAACAGAGCCGCCCCTCCACGCTTTCTAGGACGGAAGCCGGAGCCGAACGCCCTCCGCTCTCGTCCTCCTCTTCTGCCAAGGAAGATGGCGGCTATATGCCCATGATGTGTGGCGTGGCTGCGTCGCCGCGGGACACTCCACCTGACTACATGCCTATGCAACCCTCCTCTTATTCCTATCAGATCTCCAACTCTCCCCAGTTCCACAGCCCAGCTTTAGGGACGCGTTCCAACCACAACCACCCGCAGCTCCAATCCCAATCTTCCACAGACTCTCATGGTTACATGATGATGCTCCCAGGAGGCGGCGGTACATCTCCTTCCTCTCTGCAGGCCTCCCCTAGTAGTTCTGCCGGCGTCGGGGGAACCAGCAGCATAGCTGAGAAACCCGAAAATGGAGAATATATGGACATGTCCTACAGCGGCGGTGGTTGCAAGCTCCCAAGTGAAGACACCACTGTGTATTACACGCCAGGGACACCTGAGGGGGCTCTCAAGTCTTACAGCCCGTATTTCTCCCTGCCGCGCTCTTATAAGGCTCCTAGCAGAGAGAGGGGGGAGAAAGAAGATGGGGAATATGTACCGATGAGTTCTCCTGCCAAACCAGTATATTCGGCATTTGCAAACGCTTCAGGACCAGAAAAAAGAATAGGAGGCGGGGGTAGCACCTCCACTCCCTCCCACCCGCCTCCCCCCTACGGTGCTCACCATACAACTGCAGCAATGGCCGACCGACGGGTCACCAGGCCCACCCGCCTTCCGTTGGGTAGGAGGAGTTTCCATGGTCCGCTGCGGGTCAGCGAGCCCTCCACGGCGCCCGCTGGTGTACCTAGCTCGGTCTCGGCGCCCGGCCTCCCCCATGGGGGGCACTCAAGTCCCGGAGAATATATCAATATAGAGTTGGGTGAACACTTCCCTCACCAGCAGCAGCCCCCGCCCTATCCGCTGTCAGCTCAAGACGCCGCCCCCTCTCTGTTACCCGGCGAAGCTCGGTGCTCCCCTCCCCAGGCCCAGGACTACATGAGCGTCGAGGTTGGGACAGACCAGCACGATGCCGCTGGGTGTAAGAACCAGTCGCCCAGACCCAGCCTGGTAGCTCCTTGGAACCCGCCCAGCTACATCCGACCTCTGGTTAGCAACTCTGGGGTCACCGGTTCAGGGGGTCACTGGAGGTCAGTCGGAGACGATTACACAGAGATGTCGTTTAACCTCAGCAGAGGTGAGAGGACTCAAAGCCCCACAGCAATGCTGCAGCACCTCTGCATCATAGAGGGATGCTACGGTCATCCCGCCTCTGCCTCCTCATCCTCCTCCCCTCCTCATCCTCCATTAACCCAGCAGCCGGAGCCAAAGGTGGTGCGAGCAGACCCCCAAGGCAGGAGGAGACACAGCTCGGAGACGTTCTCCTCCAGCTCCTCCAATTCCACCCCCTCATCCTCAGCCACGCATCCCTCTCTGTCTCACCTCTCAGCCCCCAACACTAACGGATCCCACCCGCCGGAAGAACAGACGTCCAGATGGGCCAGCTCGGCATCCTTCGACAGCGCATGGATGTCTGTGGACAACGGCGCCGATCCGTCGGCTCACCAAGCCCAGCCGAGAAACACGGAAGCGGACCTCCCTGCATCGGCCTCCTCAGGGTCCAGCGCCGGTAGAATGTGCAGGAACATGTCTGCCGGCTACCAGAACGGCCTCAACTACATCGCCTTGGAGCTGAGGGACGACGGGGGAGCGACGGCGCCGGGGGCCAGTAGCAGCAGCGGGGGCGTGGCGGCGGCGGCGCCAGCGGGGATGGTACCTCTGCCCGAGAACGGAGCCTACGCCAGCATAGACTTCACCAAATCGGATGGAGTCACCACGACAACCAAGGGTGAGTTTGACTCTTTGTCTCTGCCATCACTGTAATCACCCACAGTTTGGAGTTTCCTTTTTAGTTTTTTTATAGGACGTACAAATACAGTGAGTAAAAAGAAAAAAATGGCTGTAGTTCCAAAATAACTGTGCTATTTTTAGCCGGTTTACATCAATTTGCAGATCTTCAAAGTGCATGTTCTATTCTGACTCAAGTGTGTGAGATCTTGTTTTTATGGCACTTGAAGCAGCCAGCTGTTGTCTTTGAAGGCTTCTGTCTGGGGAGCTGAGGTCTAGTCTGTAGCAACAGCGTTACAAGAAGTGCGGTTCATCTTTTAGGCCCTTTTTTATTTTATTTTTGTGCTGTGTGCCAACAGACTGGTAGACGGCTTATTTTCTGAATGAACCAAAGTTTATCTTGGGTCGGCTGTGGACTGAGTGGCCCTTTAAAAAAGGCCCTAGCTGGCGGCGTCTCTCTGTTCCTGTCCGTTCACATGTTGCTGTTTTGGTTTGTGTCAGCATGTATGCAGAGTTTACTGGTGTGTGTTGTCGGTTTGGTGTTTTTAAAGCCTTTTGCCTGCTTTAAAAGAAACTTTAGGTTGTTTAAAACGTTTACTTGAAGCAATAGTGGTGGTGTTTTCAATGCGTTTCATTTGTTTTCCTAGTTTTCTACTAGGAAATCTAAGATAAAAAATATTGTTTATGAGTCTGCTGCATGAGTTGACATTTAGTGTAGAGGATGGAGCTGCACAGATTTAGTTCAGTTTTTTAGATAACAAATATGTAAATATAAATATGTTTTAGGTTCCTTGATGGAGATTGGATCTGATTTAAACATTTATATCCTTTGATTTTAAATAATCTTAAAAACATGAATTCATTCACTTTCTTTTGGGGTTTTTTGAGAAGGAAATGTAGAAATAAAAACAAACTGCATCAGACAGGGCTAGCTCTTAATGCATTTATGGACTGAAAATAGTGGATGCGTATAATGATTAGTAAAACTATCTGATTGCTAATGAAAGAATTGCATTGGATGATGAACTGGTATATCTTTACTTTTCTTTTGCAATTTCGATTAAGTTGACCTTCATGTTATGTTACAGTTTGATTAGCTTAAACTGAGATGAAACGTCGATTTAAAGCTCAAAATGAGCAGAATGTTACTGGATAGCAGTTGCATTTGTGTTTTCTTGATTTGCTGTTTTTATATGGTATATAAATGCGTTTTTTACAGGTTTACAGTCTGTATAAAAAGTATTTTGGTGTGCAAAGAGTGAGGCAGTGGCATCCTCCTCCCACCTGTTCATGTTAACTGCTGCTTAGCTTGTTAAAAACAAGGTTGCAACATTTTTACCTTTTATAAAACAACACTGGGCTCATTGCCTGTGATGATAGCCCAGCAATTTACTGCTGCTAGTAAATTTAGTGGTAATTAAGGTTTGTTTATGAAGGTGACAATGAATGTTACAGCATTGCAGTTAAAACAATTAAGAGGAATATTTTAGTTTCATTTCTTTATTTATTCTGTTTAAATATTGTGAAAACTTTGAATATGTAATCGTCATCTTACCTAATTTTTATTTTTTCAGGTCTAAATATAGAAAAGGTCCTCCTTCATTAATGAAAATAATTAGGTTTTTTCCACATTATTTTCTGTCCAAAGTCTGGTTTGACCTCCTACGATAACCCGTTCATGTCGTCAGAAACTAGTTGTGCCATTTTGCTTTAGAAGAAAGTCTACAAATTGATTGAAGTCTGAAATTGACTAACTTTTGATCTAGTTTTTTTTTATAACATCATTAAAAAGATGACTGACTGTATTTATAATAAAACAAACATTTTAAATGCTGTTTTATTGCCTTTATCTAAAGGAATTAAGCAACAGTTAGTAATATTACCCTCAAAATAAACTTGATATCCAGAATTGCTTTCATAAACACGTCTTTTTTCATAAGTTTTTTAGATTAATATATCTAAAAAACTTAGATTAATATATATAATATATCGATTACAGGCTTCTGCCAGCTGAACAGCTGGCAACGCAACTCTGATCACTTTCTTTGGTATTTTGTTTAACTTATTTAGTACTTTGTTTGTTCAGTTTTACTGGATTTCAACAGTTGTTTCCCAAAGAGCAATGTTTGCAATGCTTTAAAAGATGCCGTGTTCATGTCCAGAAGACGTCTCGCTTTATTAGGACTTTTAATCATCTCAGCGTTTTGTATCTTACAATATAAAAAAGCTGTAACCAGCTTTTAATGTCTTGTTTTTGGTTGTCTATCTGGAAGAGTCCTTTCTTTTCTTGGATTTAGTCATAGGAACATATGTTGCATACCTGAAGCGGGAGTCGGGTGCACGCTCATATGACCCGTGGTGTAGAAACAAGAAACATCCTTGTGTTTCGTGTGTAAATCACTCACTCCTGTTTGTCAGCACGTCTGTTTGCAGCCGCAGTAATTATTGAGGCCCCCTAATTGGACGACTTCAGTCATAACACACTCATCTGTAGAGCTTTTATTTTCTAACCTGGTGTGAACCCAACACTTTATGAATAATCACTTTCTGCTATTGATATCATGCATGTTTTCTATATGCAGTGTATTACAGAAGTGTTTTTACTTGAACATTGTTGTTATGTAAAAGTAGTCTTGTTTTTATAAGGTTTTCATGAGAAGGTTTAAAATTTTAAAACAGAGAAAATAGAAATTTGAATTTCCATCAGATGATGCAAAGGGGCTGTAATAAACAGGAAGCAGAGGTAGCAAACTGGGACGTTGTACGGATTGTTAATGGAGCAAGGTTTCAATTAATCTAATACCATCGCACTAGTTGTACATAGCTTATCATGTTGACTTTTATTTGCGATGTTGGAAATCATCTAGAGACAACACAAGAGAAGTACGAAGTACTGATCAGCCATGAGCTAAATGTTCTCCACGTCAGAGCTTATTTAAAACGTAATTACCGTATTTTCTGGACTAAAGGCTGCTACTTTTTTCACAAGCTTTGAACCATGCGGCTAATGAGAAGGTGCTGCTTTCCTGTGGATTTTTCCTACCCATCAGAGGGGAAAGTCAAAGCTTGAAATGAAAGAATGAGGGGCTAATTTTCATTTAGCTCAACATGCTAGCAGCAGGCGTGACAGAGAACAAATGTCCTGAATTCGCACATTTTGACATTTATTTAACCCCATTAATGCTGCTAAATCAATGAAGGGATTAGGTTAAACTCCTGCAGAGCTGAAATAAAGAGCCGACAAAGCCCCATCTTTCAGTAGAAGCTCTTACTGCTGCGAGCTAGCATGCTTCTTCGTCCCTACTCCAGGGGCGATATGTAGAGCTCCCCCTACAGGTGCGGTGGGAGACAGTTCAATAGATATCAGCAGCTTATAGCCCATTGCAGCTTGTATGTGTACATTTCCAGGTTTTTTCAAAAACTTTAGTGGCCAAGCCTTATTTTGAGGCGCACTCCATAGTCTGGAAAATACGGTACTTTTTTGTTGAAGAAGTCAAAAGCTATCTTAAACATAGTTCCAAATGAAGAAGTTTCCATCAACTTTTCTAATACGATGCCTCAAAATACATACAAGACAACAATGGAAACACATCTAGCGACACAAAGCTATTTATCTGCCAGCTTTTTTAGGTTTTTTTCTTCTTAAACAGCTAAAGCTCAGTCAGATGGAGAGGATCTGTGAACATCAGTTTTTAGTTTTGCAAGAGTTTAAATAAAATTAGATTCTGTACTCATTCTTAAAATTTTAACCGACTGAAAAGCTTTATTATAACCGTTTTATTGATCTTTCTCTGCTTGTATCTTTATTGCTTTTTGTACCCCTCCTTCTGTCTGTTGAACCCCAGTCGGCCTCAGCAGATGGCCGCTCACACTGAGCCTGGTTCTGCTGGAGGTTTCTTCCTGTTAAAAGGGAGTTTTTCCTCTCCACTGTCGCTACAAGCATGCTTAGTGTGAGGGATTGCATTCAAGTCAATAAGTCGAGGCAATCAACTGGTTGTCCTTAGATAGAAAACTCTGAATCAGTTTGACTGGATGATCTGATGATCTGTAAAGTGCCCTGAGATGACATGTGTTGTGAATTGGCGCTATAGAAATAAGCTGAATTGAATTGTTTTTTTTCAAAAGTTTTATGAAGCCTAACCTCACAGACTGTTTAAATATCTAATCTTTTTTTTAAAATATAAATGCAGACCAATTAGTTGATCCATGCTTGTTGGTTTCTGTAGGATCTTTTCACTTCCCGCTCATGAAGTATGGAGTCTGATGTGTGTACAGGCTGTTCCCCGCATCCAGGTCGATTTGCGTTTGTTTGCACGGAGTCAAGGCAGGCAGCCTTTTGATGTGGCGTCGTAATTACAGCTGCGGCGTGTTAAGACACACAGCGGCGCTGAGAGGAAACGCATCATCATCATTCAGGAATGCACTTCCTCTCAGTGGCAGAGCCGAACTCATTGAGACACACCTGGATTCTTGACCTAGAGGAGACTGGGAGGGAGGTGAAGGCTGGTTGTTTTTTTTTTTTTTTTGTTTCTTCTATCCAGCTGGCAGAAGCTTTCTTCCTCAGTTTGGGAAATGTTGCTTGGAATGTATTAAAAAGGCACACATTTTCTGCTTTTATTTCATTTGAGGTTTAGCAACTAAAGCTGATGGCAATACTTAAAAAATAATTCAGGCTTAACTGTTGCAGTGGTTTAGAAAAGAAGTGATCACTTTGCATTTATTGTGCCTAATAACTTTTGCTAGAGTAATGATATATGAGTGCAAATTTGAATTATTATTGTGTTAGTTAGCAGGTTGTTATCTTTAACAACATCGTTAGCAATAGTACTCAGGTAGGTGTTTAAGTTAAAGCCTCTCCACCAGCCTTAACTATTGCTATGAGGGAAGATGGATCCGGTGTGGGTACCAGATCTGCTTGGGGCCCTGCCCCTTCTTATGACGTAAGAACAATGTAAGTAATAATAAGTAATATGGCAACTCAACTCGGAAAAACTGTAATGC